GGTAAGCAAAAGCGAATGGATCCATATCCGGGCCTATCACCTTGTCCATCAACCTCTGGAAGGTCGCTCCTGCGTATGACAGTCCGAAGGGCATTCTCTTAAATTGAAAGTGCCCTAATCCAGGAACTGTAAACGCTGATATTGGACGCGATTCTTCCTTTAAGGGAATTTGATGGTACGCACTGCTCAAGTCCAAAGTAGATATGAACTTTGCATCCCTTATTCGTCTTAGGATGTCGTTCATATATGGTAAAGGATAGGCATCAGGTTTGGTAATTGCATTTACCTTTTGATAGTTCACACAAAACCTATACTTTCCATCTGCCTTCTTTACCATTACTACTGGACTTGACCATCCGCTAGTCGCTGGTTCGATAACATCCTTTTCCAGCATATCTTTGACCAGCGTGTGCATTTCCTCTCGCATTCTATCTGAGACTGGGTAGTACTTCTGTTTGATGGGTCGAGCATTTTCAACATCTATTTCATGCTCAACCCCCACGGCACAACCTAAAGCCTGACCCCCGTCAGGAATCAATCTTCTGACGAGGTCTTCAATTTCTTCAAGCTGTGACTCCGTTGCTTCCCATAGTCCTACCGGTGCGAGAAATGCCGTACCATCAATTCCAGCCACTTCCATTGGTACTTTCACTTGGGCGTCCTTAAGCCATAATTCATCCTCATCGGGATCCAAAATTGCGCGGAACTCTCTTATAAAGTTCGCGCCTACATAGCAGTCATCTGTGAGCAGCGGCGTAATGGCGACTCTGATTGTCTTCGTGATTCCCCCTACTTTAAAAGGGAACATCACGTGACCAATTATAGGGCACGGGCGTCCATCAGCAAGCCTTGCATCGCCCGCCCTGGTCACATTCAACCCGAGTCCCATCTCCGATGCCAATCTCAGTCCTAATTGACCCATGACCGTGGATGAGGCGCCGGTATCATAGAGTGCTCTGATTTTAAAGTCACCTATGTCTACCCGCAACCACCACCTGGTCTCATCCTCTGGGTCATATCCACGAGTCCCATCTTCGCCTCCTTTCATCGTGCTTTTCAGCGACTTTTTTCCTTCCGCGGCCGCGACGATGGTGGGCTGGCTTCTACTCGTGGATCCCTTCGGCAGAGGAGCTTTTTGTGTGGAGGGGCTCTCGCTGGAGTCTTCCCCCTCTTCCACAACCTGTATGTGGCCATCTGGTCCTTTCAGGATAACCACTCTCCTATTCTGCCGAGGGCTGACATCGGGTTCAATTGCCTTCCGCTCTAATATACTGCTATGTCCTAGGCTCTCTTGATGCCCTCCCAGGACTTGTTTGGATCCCTGGGTCGCCGACAACTTGCTGTTTCCCATCGGCGACCCGCAGCGAGAGGTCGAATTTACTGGAGGCGCGAAGATGACCTCTTCTCTTCGCTCTCCTTGTTGTTTCCCTTGTTGCAATCTGGGCAGAACTTGCGACTAAAACCCAGTTTGCCACAAGCGGAACATTGGAGAGGCTTAGTAAAGTCTATCTTCCGCCTCTGCCCTTCTCGCCGCTCGCCAGGAGACCTGGAAGAAGGAGAATTTTTCCTTCCTCCACGCCATCGGCTCTTACGCTGTTCTGGAGGGCTGGCTTGCTTGTCAGCGGCCAACTTGCGCAATATCCGCTCGATGCCCTCCAGGCGTTCTTCCATCTTCTTATCAGAAGTGGAAGCTTGCGTAGCCGATACCGATGCTTGTTCGGTAGGCCTCCTGACGGGGTTCTCCACGCCCAGTCCGCGCTGCGGATTTCCCTCCTTTTTCGCACGCGCCTTCCCTTCGCTGGCCATTGCAGCGGTTTGGGATTTACTACCAGCCGTTCTTTTGCTCGGCTGAGGGAAGATCGTCGAGTTGGGGTCAGCGAATACACGTGGACGGCGACCATAAGATAAGGTGTTCTGTACCTCGGTCACCCTCCTGTTGAATTCGCGTATCGACGTCATCTCGCTCCGGCGCAGCTGGATTTGGATGGTTGGAAGGAGGTTTGCATGGAGTAGGTCTAATAACCTCTCCAAAGGCATAGGTGGTTCTAGCCTATTGACAAGAGCCACCAGATTGGACACGTAGTCTCGCACTAGTTCGTCCTCACCCTGGAACCGGTTCTGGGCTTCCTGCAACAGCCTTTGTTGCTGTTGCGTACTTGTGCCAAACCAATCCCGGGCGTCCGCGACGAACTCGTCATAACTGAGCCACTGGTACTTGTTGTTATCGTACCAGGTCCTCGCGTTACCTTCGAGGATCTCTGATACGGAACAAAGCACTTCGTCGTCAGTTAGTCCTACACCTACGCGCAGATCCTCCAACCTCGACAGAAACGTATCTACGCTCTGTGCCCTACTGCCCGCAAACCTCAATTTCCATCCGCGGACAATTTTCCCAACATCTCGGGTTGTGGAGAGCCCTGAGAATATCTGATGTCCGGTGCCAGATGATCCGCTTCGACTCCTCTGTCGAACGGGTGCGGATCTCCCATAAACTTCAGAATCCTCTTCACCTCCTCTTCGTTGGACGACTTCCGGTGTGGTGACGTCCCTTCTCCTAGGTATTGGTCTTGGAGGAGCCGGTGTACTCCCCGGAATCCCCGAGTCGTAGTGACAGGTGTATGTGTCCTGAAAGTCCACATTACGTCCGGAGCGCGGTTGAACCGAGTCACGCTGAGAAGAACGGTTAGCACTGGCCATGTCATGCATTGCGTCTTCCAGCTCTCGAATTCGTATGCGCATGTCCTGCGCCTCGCGCTCCGCACACACCTGTAATCCCTGCAGAGTCTGAAGGGTTTCTAGGATTCGACCTACCAACTTTTGGTTATGGTCTATTCCCTCCTTCAGATACTCTATCTCTCGGAAGGCTTCACTCAAGGATAATTCTTCCTGAGGTTCCTTCCGAGTGCAGGATTCCTGCGACCTGGGGTCCGGATTGCTCCGTCTCTTCTCCCCCTTCTCCTGCTCTTGCGTGCTAAGGGCCTTCTGGATGAGTTCATCCTCTTCTTGGCGGCTGGCTTCACCCTCAGAGTCCTCATCCGGGCAGGTGAATGTCCTTGACATGTCAGTCAATGATATTCCCCCCCCCCCCTATTGATGATCCTGAGGGGATGGTCGCTGTTATCATCCGTGGTGGAGTTTTCCAACTCGTCACAGACTGTGTCAAGCCACGCTTGTCGGGATCGCCTCCTGCGCCCCGCTACCTCTTTGCTGTGCGTGGTCTCTTGAAAATCTGTGGCGGTGTACTCACCCAGCAACCATCTCCCAAGCCTAGCCGCCTGTTGGATGACACTTCCATCCTTGCGCAGCTCCAAATCCGCTAAATAACGTTCGCGCTGTGCGGAGGTCAGCTCTAATGCCCAATTGTCGATTTGAGCTGACAACAGAGCCATCTTGCCTCCGCACGGGTGTAGGATGCGGTTGAGGTTTAAAATTTCGGCCTAATCGACGACTACCGCCTCCTATCACCCAAGATATGAGCGGGGTGTACACTATTTAGTGTCAGTACTTTTAATACCTCCTTTTATGAGGACTTTTAAAAGGAGATTATGAGCGCGTGCAGTCTCCGCAAACTTTCTATAAATATTATAAAAATATCCTACCTAAGGTCGGAGCCTGCTGTTTGCTTGCTCCGCCTGGCTACTATTTGGACTGCACGCTTGGGTCGCGCTCTCTGCCTTATCGTTGATCAGGTGCTACCAACCCCCCTTTATCCACCTAACTGTGGCTGAAATAGGTTAACACCTGATTCTCCCGTACGATCTGAAATCACTTCGACCTACCAATAATTATCGCTTTCGGCCCTTTTTACAATAATCTTAACAATTTTTAACCAAAGGTTCGAAGTGGTTTCGTTTTTTCCCCAGCAGAGGGCGTACCGCTCACGATCTCGCTCTACTACCCGCTCAAACCATCCTAAGCGCTCGCGCAATCGTCTCTCTCTCTCGTGCGTCGATTACCTTCGACGCACAATCCTATTCGCACGACACGGGTCTTAATACCAATTAGGCGCCATGTAACGGGGGGATAAACCTGCAAAATGAGAAATTTATATAAGAGCAAACTCCCACGATGCAGAGCAAACCGCCGCTCCGTTAACACGTATGTTAATACGTGTATTCGCCTTAACGTCAGCTGACTTAACTTGGTTGTCTTCGATCAAGCGGAGTTGAACTCACCTTAAGTCACGTGCCCTGTGACACACGATGAGTTTTAAGTGTAATCGACTTTGCTCCTAATCCACTTAATCCCCTAGCTATGATCGGATTAAAACTTGCCTATTTCAATTGTTTAATCTATTAGAAAAAATTATATGACGAAATTGGCGAATAATTTTAATAGATTTTATTGATAAAAATCTCTACAGTCTTTATCGGGCCGAAAGACTGACGCACGCGAACAGGATTTACAATTAAATAACTTTCGGTGAGAAAGAGAGAGAGAGAGAAGATACGAAAATTGGCGCGATCTAACGCTCGGCGCGAATACAAAATTATCAACGCTAACGCGGCTAAACAAAATAATAAATATATTTAGACACGCGATAATAAAGGGAGGTGCACCTACCCTGCGGTGCAATTACGGTGATCAGCCGTAATTGTTGATGTCAGCAAAATATCAACTGTCTCTGTCCTTTGAATAATTGACTGCGCTGCCTCACTCTGCTATTCAGCTGCAAACTGCTTCCGAAGCCCCGTACTTGCTGTAATATCGCTATCACACTCACGCACGAGATTGTCCCAGGAAAACTATTACTCGGCGAGAAAAACTGTGCAAATAAAAATCGGCGATGCTCGTTCGAATACAGCTGAAGCGTAACTGCTAATTTGAAAGATCGCGCGCCCCCTCTCTCTCTCAATACTTAGAACTAACGCGCGAAAATCAGAATCGCGAACGGTTCGATTAATTGAATCGACTACCGTTGCAAATTACAGATATACACAAATTATAAATAGCTCCTTCAAAAAATGTTAATGAAAATATTTTACTATTATAAATATTACCTTTATTTGAAAAACTGAGAGACCATTCATCCAAGCAACGAAACGGGACAAGGTAGTTTTTCCAGCTCCTGATACACCGATGAGAAGTAAATGACCTTGGGGTTGTCTAAAAATCCTATCTATTCGTAAGACGTGTTCCAAAACTTCATCAAAAAGTACTAATGGAACGTCCAATTCTTCTTCATAAAAAACCTTGAGTCTTGCTTTTACGTAGCCTCTTAATTCTCGTCTACTTACTGGAATGTAATCTTTAGAAAGCCAATTACTATATAAAATTGGTCGATTCAAAGCGATTTCTTTATTAATTCCAGGGAAATGTTTTAAAGCGACAATGTCGATAGTTTTATTTGTCCAAACTCTTTCCGTATCTTCAACTAATCTATCTTGAAAAAGTCGTAGAGCTTCATGGGCCCAAAGACGAATTAGACCCTCAATAGATAAATTGTCCAATGGTCTTATTGCTTCGCAGATACCCCGAACCCATCGTGTCATTTCACGAGGGGAATAAACGTAATGGGGTTGCATATCTTGCGTAAAACGTTCTTGAGATGTTAAATAAAATTCTACCATTGAATTTGTCAATGGCTCAGCATAGCCTTTCAGGGATGGAATCAATCTAAGCATGGCTCTTGTGAATGTACCATAAATTTGTTTTAAAGAAACTTCACCGGGATAATCAACATAAATAACAGGAACGTGACGTAAGAATCTGTAACTTAAGGGCTTTCTTCCGGGATCGGTTGGTGGATTGCAAGCTCCAACAAATTGTATCCTTTCTATTGATACCCAAGCTTGATCGCTTGTTCTAAAAAATCCTTTATGCTCTACAAGTTGTCTCAAAAATGATATTACTCTTTGTGTACCATACTTATCCATTTCAGGTAAATTGATCTCGTCACAAAATAAAACTAACCATTTTCCAAGTTGAGCTGGTGATAATACAACTCCATTAGGTGTCCTACGATATTCACAGTAATGGTCGAATGTTTTTAATAATAGTTCAGGCGTTGTTGCAGATGAAAAATTTAAGCCAACAACTTCCATATCAGGTAGTGCTCTCAAAGCCGAAAATAGTGTCATTGTTTTACCTGAGCCGGGAGGTCCACATAAAACTGAAATAAAAGTTAGATTTAAGTTACTTATAAGTTAAGTAAACAATTAACGGTAAATGATTACAATGTAATGAATAAATAAAATTGTTATAATAGAAATTTTCTAAAAAATTTATTTTTATTTTCTTATTCTAATGTTTTTAATATCATTATATCAAATGAATTTTCATACATCGTAATAATTTATTTAAATAAAATCCAATCAACCACGTTTAATTCAATGTTGAAATTCACACAAAAAATTGAATAAACAAAGTACCCCTAAGTACTCCTAATTACATAGAAGTCTTTCTCAAAAGTGAACGTAGATTTACAATTCTGCGAAATTTATTTTATTCCTATAATTTTAATTAATTATTTATTTAACATACACTGCCGGTCAGTCACTTTTACCCCCCCTCAAGCAAAATTGCTTTAACTTGGAAGTTTCATATTTTTGGTCAGAATCATCGTATAGAGACGAGCGGGGGGAGCATTTGGAAGCTCTTTTCAAGAACTTTCGAATAGTATGCATCGCAAAATTTATGAAATCGGGTTTCTAATTTTTTCAATCGAATACTCATCAATGAAAATTCCGAAATTTTCAGTCTATCTTTGATAACTTGCCAATTCTAGGGAAAAAATCCCACAAAAATTTTGAGCACAGCATTTTCTTCCTTTTTCCAAACGCTATCCAAATCACTCATCAAAAAATTTTTTCCATCAAATATGATCCTTGTATAAAAAATTTTCTTGAAAATTGACGTTTTCACAACTTTTTATAACTTTGTAAATATAAATCCTAGAAAAATGTGTACATGAAAGAAAATGTTTCTTTTTTCACGTAGAATACTGTAAAATTTTTTCAGATTAAAAAAAAATATTTTTTTTATCCATCTTTCTATGGTCGTTCAAAAAAAAAAGTAAAATATTCATCTGCAACGTGAAATTGTCTTTTTGTAAAATAAAAATTGTAGATTTCAAAAACTTGTTGTTCCCATTTTTTTTCCTCACAAGAACACTGTTTTTCAATAACAATAATGATATGTCATGATTCAAATGAAAATACATGCTTAATCGGGAAAGTTATTTATTTGAAATAATAACTTTACATAAGTTTCATTGAGCCTAAAACTTGAAGATTATCTACTATTTCACTCTGGATTAGATTCTAGCGTATTTTTAGTAGAATGTCATAACATAGAAATAGACAACAAAAATAGATAACAAAAACTAGACAAAAGTAACCAAATGCGATAGGACTATGAATCAAATTTTTAGCTAAATATCATTCGAAATAAATAAAATTAGAATAAATAAATGCACCGTCTCATAACAATAACACGTAACAATAGTGACTTTGTAATTAACAAACATAAACTTCCGATAATTAGAACTTGTATCACAGAAATTAAACTTTTCTTTCATTAAAGTGTTTTCCTTTATGCTTGATAACAGCTTTGCATATTCTTGGCATCCTTGCGACTAGTTTGTCCAATGTGGTTTATTGGAGATTGTTCCAATCTCTTTGTAAAATTTTCCATAAATTAGTTGCAGAGCTTAGGCAAGATTTTCTCACTGCTCGATCGAGCTCTTCCCATAGCAGTTCGATGGGATTCAGATCAGGCGACTGGGCTGGCCATTGCATAACTTTCAATTTTTTTTTCTTTTTTAAATTTAAGAGATAATTTTTACATAATTTGGATGTATGTTTTGGATCGTTATCTTGCTGAAACACAAATTATGCTCCAACTAGTCGAATTCCTGATGTTACACCGTTCCTTTATAGAATGTTTTTGTAACTTTCTTTCTTTAAGATTGCATCAATTTTCACAATATCACCTACATTTGATCCAGCAAAACAACCCCATACCATAACTGAACCACCACCATGCTTCACACTTGGAACTAAACAATCACTATTATATTTCTCACCAACCCGTCTTCTTACATATACTCTCCTTCTACTTCCAAAAATTTCAAATTTTGACTCGTCAGACCACAGAACATTTTTTCAATTAGAAACAGCCCAATTTTTATGACTTTTTGCCCACTGTAAGCGTTTCTTTTTATTTACACATCGTAGAAGTGGCTTCTTAACGGCAACTCGACCAAAAAGTCCTTTCTCTCGCAAACGTCTCTTCACCGAACTCACACTCACAGGTTTTTCTAAATGTTTGTTGACATCTGCGGTAAGTTCAGAGGCAGTGACTTTTCGATTACGCAAACTTGTTCGACAAATGTAGTCATCTTCTTTGGCAGTAGTTTGTCTTCTTGGTTTACGTTGCCTATTTTCGACACTTCCAGATGTACAGAACTTTTTAATATTATAATCCACTGTGCGCCTGTCTATTTTCAACTGCTTTGAAATAGCGTGACTACTCATTTGCAGTTCATGAAGGGCAATGATCATATTACGTTCACGCACGGACAAATTTTTCGATTTTGCCATATTCACTCCACATTACACAAACAGTTGTTCACACTTGAAACGCTCGCGATCGACTAGTTTGCTCATAATCGTAGACACAGAAATATTTAAGAAGATACCACATTACATATGGTGAGCGTTCGTATATAACTTTATTTGTAAACACCTGAGTATACAGCGTGTTGGGTACCTACTAAATACGAGGGTGGTCCGATAAGTACTTAGCCTCACCGCCCGATGGCGCCACTCTCGCAAAAGAAATATTCTATCACGTAGTACAACCTTCTCGATGGTTACTGTCAAGATTTTAGCCGGATCGGAGTTGTAGTTTATTTTTGAGAACGTGTGAAAGAAAGTATGTCCGTTGATTTTTGAAAAATGGAAAAAGAGCAGTATCGGTCTGAGATTCGATTCTTGTTTTTGGAAGGGAAATCGCGCAGCGAAATCAAAAAGCGCTTAGATTCTGTGTACGGTGACTCTTCTCCTTCGATGGCGACAGTCAAAAATTGGTTTAACGAGTTCCAATGTGGTCGCACGTCGATTTTTGAAGAGCCACGTCCAGGTGCTCCGAAAACGGCTACCACAGAGGATAACGTGACAAAAATTCACGATCTCGTATTGGTAGATCGACGATTGAAGGTGCGCGAGATAGCTAAGATCGTAGGCATCTCAAAAGACCGCGTGGGTCATGTCCTGCATAAAATTTTGGGCATGAGAAAGCTGTTGACGCGATGGGTGCCGCGTTTGCTCACTCCGGAAAACAAGCGCAACCGTGAGACAACTTCAGAGCAATGTCTGACGCTGTTTAAGCGCAATCCGAAGGAGTTTCTTCGCCGTTTCGTGACAGTCGACGAAACCTGGATCCACTGGTATACACCAGAGATCAAGGAACAGTCGAAACAGTGGACTTTACCAGGCGAAAGTGCTCCGAAGAAGGCGAAGACTGCTCCTTCGGCCGGAAAGGTGATGGCCACCGTTTTCTGGGATTGACAAGGTGTGATCTACATCGACTACCTGGAGAGGGGTAAAACGGTCACAGGGCTGTACTATGCCGAATTATTGGGCCGATTCGACGTCGAATTGTAGAAAAAACGGCCCCATTTGGCGAAGAAAAAAGTGCTCTTCCACCATGACAACGCACCGGCTCACACCTCCGACGTCGTCATGGCCAAATTGGTCGAATTAGGCTACGAACTGCTGCCCCATCCACCGTATTCTCCAGATTTAGGCCCGTGCGACTTCTTTTTGTTTCCAAACTTGAAAAAGTCACTCGCCGGGCAGAAATTTGAGTTGAATGAGGAGGTAGTCGCTGCCACGGAAGCCTACTTTTCAGACCTAGAGGAAAGGTATTTTTTAGACGGGATAAATAAGTTGGAGCATCGCTGGGCCAAGTGTATCGAACTAAAAGGAGACTATGTTGAAAAATAAAATGCCACTTTTCCAAAATTTTCGTTTTTCTTTTGTAGGCTAAGTACGTATCGGACCACCTTCGTAAGCCTGTGATTACTGGGTGTGAACACATACACGTATACTCACTATCGTCTCCTGTACAAGATATATTTTTTTTTGCACCGGCTATAAAAACAGCGTTGAAAAATAATTGAAAAACAACGTTTTTGTGAGGAAAAAAAATAGGAACAACAAGTTTTTGAAATCTACAATTTTTATTTTACAAGAAGACAATTTCACGTTGCAGACGAATATTTTACTTTTTTTTTTGACCGACCATAGAAAGATGGATAAAAAAAATATTTTTTTTTAATCTGAAAAAATTTTACAGTATTCTACGTGAAAAAAGAAACATTTTCTTTCATGTACACTTTTTTCTAGGATGTTTATTTACAAAGTTATAAAAAGTTGAAAAAATGTCAATTTTCAAGAAAATTTCTCATACAAGGGTCATATTTGATTCCGGAATTTTCATTGATGAATATTCGATTAAAAAAATTAGAAACCCGATTTCATAAATTTTGTTATGCATACTATTCGAAAGCTCTTGAAAAGAGCTTCCAAATATGCCCCCGCTCGTCTCTACACGTTGATTCTCACCAAAAATATGAAACTTCCAAGTTCAAGCAATTTTGCTAGAAGGGGGGTAAAAGTGACTGACCGGCAGTGTAGACTTAGTATAAATTTCAATATTCTAAATTTATTGCATATAATTCAGTTCAAGTTATTTTAAATCATATTATTTTATATCTCACTATATAGAAATGACTTTTAATAAAATTTTAGCTATTTAACATAACGATAGGATGATAGAATCAACGATTGTTTAAGCCGTTAAAAATCGTGTTCCTCGCTGCTAAGGTAATCGACACTTTAAAGATGGGTTGCGCATGTTGTACTCGTAACAGAAAACCAGCGCAAATAAATAAACTAGCTATAGATAAATTGAACTGTATACGGGATCTTACCGTGATCATGGACTAATTCAAGAGAGAGACAGAGAGAGATATTGATTGATTGATTATTCCTTTACTAATATAAGGATAGTACCTATTCTTCTGGTGATAGAAAAATAGTTATAATCTGATGATTTTTATGATTCAGTCGATTATAACCTATAAATTCTCATTTAAACAATTAT